CCCCCCCCCCGCCCCCTCTCTCCTTCATCCCGAGAACCCATCCCATGCGAGACGAATGTGCACAATCTTTCCGAATGTGCGGCTCGCCTCGCCCTCTTGTGCAAATTCGACACTCCTCTTGCTTTCAGCGACATACATCTTCTCCCCACCCGGAGGTGGTTGCCCCTCATTACTCCAGAGCCTTCCCACCTGCCTGCTTCTCCGCCTTCTTTCTGTGGGTCTTTTCCTTTCGCTTGTTTATCATCGCTTCAGGGGGGAGACACTTCTTTGACGCCCGTGTCCTCCAGTGGGGCGGCCTGCCGCCCCCGGGGCATCGGTTGGCCCTCATGCACGTTCATGTGTGAGAGACATTCACCGGTGGGGCCATGCGATTGTTTTGCGAGCGGAGTCCGGGCAATGGGTGCCGGGGGGCCGTTTAATGAAGTGAACAAGGACACGCTCCTGTGCTGCGACATACAGGTCATCCCCATTCTCATCGGCACATCCCTCCGGACGTCCTTACATCGACAAATACATACGCACATGCCCACATGTATCCAGGATGGCCTGAAGGCTCGACAGCTCGGCAGACCCCCCTGCCCCCTGCCGTGATACAATCTCGCAGAGACGATTTCGACAACATGAAGAGATTCGAAAAAAAAAAAAAAACCCGGCGGACTGTGTGCTTTCCGCCCCACATGGCGTTCTCAACAGGCCGAAAGTAGAGCTTCAGGGATCGGCCACTCTCGGGGGTTTCGGCTTTGGCATCCAGCAGGGCCCCACACCACCGACGCAATCTCGCCGCCTCGAATGCTCGCCCGGAGTCGACTTTAGGCCACCGCGCCATTGACGACAAAAGACATGTCAGGCTGCAGGTCTGCCGCTCCTCTCGAGAATGTCCGCATGGCCAAGCGCACCTAGGCACTAGGACTGGCTTGTCCACATCGCGAGCAGGGCATCACTACCACGCCCCGGGAGAAGTGGCACCAGGCATGCGAAAGTCCCCCATGTGGCTGCCAGCCCTTTTCCCAGGCCAGAGACACCGCCGCCGCCGCCGCCGCCGGTCGCGCGACATGCTGAGCATCCCTTCCGCGCGGCAATCTCTCCAGCCAACCTATTGACGGAGCACAGGTGGCGGGCTGCCCCCGAGAACGAGGCCAGTTTCATGTCTGCCCACGGTCAATGGCCCCCATTACCCAAGCCAGTCTCCTTTAAAGGAGCGTTCCCTGCTCGCCCGGAATGTGGTGCCACCTTCGATCGGAGCCCGACCCCGTCGCCCTCCATCGTGGCATCTCATCCATCCGTCGAACCTGTCCATGCCGCCTCCTTGGCCCGGCTCAGGCCAAGGCCGGGCCCTGCTTCCAATTTCTCTTCCTTGTTCCAACTCTCGGCTGAAAAAAAAACGCGCAGATGCCCGAAAGCTGCCTCCTCCTTCCGGGCACACCGGCGTCATTGGCCATTCTTGTAGGGCCATCTATCCTTTCCAGTCATCGCGTGTGAGGCGTGCCTCCTTGACAAGGCATTACCCCCCAAGTTGGATGGCCCTCCGAAGCGCCCGTGGCTAGGCCCAAGAATCCTTGCTCTCGTCGGCCATTCATTGCTTCCATCCTCTCCGGGAGCATGCCCACATATCGCCCCCCGTGGGGAGGCCTTGGCTCGGCCGGATTGGACGAGCGCACAGATCGGGTCATGTTTGTCCTTTCCCGCCGTGGGCTGCGGATATCCAAATCCCAGCAAGACGCCGGCTTCTTGCCCGCACCAGAGCACACCAATACTTGGCCATCTCGCATCCAGGCACCCCCCCCCCTCACTTGAATACCCCTTGCCTGGAGGCTGGTGACTCTAGTTTTGCGATAGCTGGGAAGACCCACCTGACCCTTTCCGGTCCCCCATCAACCCAATGCACCCACGCAGCTCTATCTTGAGCATGTGTGTGTGTTTGCGCGCGCGCGCGCGCGCGCTTGTGTTCGGTGCCGCGGCGGACCTCTTCCAGGTCACATCTGACCGGCCAAAACAACTCCAAATGACCTTGCAAGCCCGCGAGCAAGAGAGGATCCCGTTTAGGTCGGGGGGAGGGACGAGGGGGGGGGGGGACAGCCAAGCATCTGCCGGCCAGCTCCCCCTCTTCCTTCCCTCCTTTTCCTCTCCCCCTCAGACCTCCGGGTGTGGGCTGCTGGCCAGGCCTGTCCCTGCCGAAACTGACCCCGCTCGCCAGGCCACGGCTTGCCCCTCAGTTACTGGCCGTGTCGCCAACACAGAGGGTGACAGGAGCGCGAGAGGAAAAGGGCCAGGGAGGCCTGTCTTGCCACGCTCGAGCTCCTGCCAGGTCCGGATCCCGCCGTCACCTCGGTCGGGTGTCGGTGGAGAGCGGACCCAAACCGCGCGCCTCTGGACAAGGTCGCCTGAGTCACTGCAGCGCCTCTGCTCAAGCTGCCCGAAGCATCCCGCAGCATGCGCCGGATGACAAAATGGCCCCCGGTCGCGCCCGCGGCTCCAGCGGCGGTTCTCCCTCCTTCCCGGCCCGCGATGGAGACAAATTAACTATATTAACCGAAAGAGCGCATGTCTGTCATGTGACACACTCTGGCTCCAGTTGTGGGTGAACGAGCCCTCCGGGGAGCCAGATAATCCTCCCTCGCCCTCACCCATGAACTGGGCTGTTGGCCAAAACCACCCCGTCGAAAGGCAAGACCTGGCATTTGAGGCCATGGGAGCTCAGACGGTGGCTGCTTGGGAAAGGTGGCGATTCAAGGGGCGAAAGGCAAGGCACAAGCCTGTTTCCCTCACATCTTGCTGCGACAAGGCGTCAAGACACCCTGCCCCAAGCTGCTTCCCATCGCCGGGAGGGCCATCCAGGCCGCATCATCGTACCCTCGGGTGCTGCTCTCAGGGAGGCGGAGCCGAGGGAAAAGGGCCGGCAGCCTGTCGGTGCTCCTTTCCGATCCCGCCATATTCCCCGGGTCCGAGCGAGAGCGAGAGATGGAGGGGCGGAGGGGGAATTTCAAGTGCCCCGATCACCTTCCACAAACCGTCCCTTTTGCTCATGTCAAGGAGAGTTCTTCCGATGCAAGCCGACCCGGCCGAGCGAAATGAGGAGCGGGGGAGTACAGCACCAGGAGCACAAAGGGGGGATTTATTTTACGCAGAATTGGGAGAAGAACAGCAGGCTCACTCGGGGAGCCTCACACCCGGGGTTTGGCTGAAGAGGCGCGCGGTCCATTTACAAGCAACCCCTCACAAAGGGCGAGGGGAGGGGCCGAGGCAGGGGGATCAGTCCGCCCATCGCCATCGCAGCCATCATGGAAACCACGCACCTGCAGAGTGCTTGGCATCATCCCTACCAAGACCACTTGCACGGGGGGGGGGGGGGGGGGAGGTCGCCTTTGATCCGACACCGGGCCGGGGCCAGGTCGTCGGACGGGATGATGCATCGAGGCAAAGCGATGAAGGGGAAAGAAAAAGAGGAGGAAAACAGGTGTTCATTCATAGTGGCCAACGGGCATGGCCTTGGGGGAACCCGCTAAAAGGGGACATGTCTCCTGGGGGGAGGCCAGGCTGGCATTCCAGCAATGAGACCATGCTATTTCCTTCTCCCTTGCCTGGGACGCCCCTCGCCGCGGACTTGGGCGCCGACTCGGGTCAAGCATCCCCACAAAGACACTTCCACTTGAAGCGGCTCGGTGGGGAGGCCTTGTCGCCAGACAGCCCCATCACAGCTTCCGCAGAAGGTCCATCACAAGGCAGTTGTAAATCGGGCCCAGGTTGTCAACACACGCCAGATACGGAGGAACCAGCATGTGGAGCGGCTTGCTGCAGATCGCGATCGAAGAGTGGCGATTCACCTTCATCGGCTGGCAATACTTGCACACCGCCACCCTGGGGATCGGTGGCGGCCGGCCGGAGGAGATAAACTCCAATGCCTGCGCCTGGAAAGACACCTGCTCCCTGAGCAGAGCCTCGGCCTTGCGCTTCTTCATGAAGAACACCTGTCGGAGAGGGCGCACCCCGAAAGGAAGGGAAGGTAAGGAAGACGGTCAGAGACGGGCCTCCGGGGGAACATACACTACAGGGTACACACGAAAAGAAAGGCCTCCCGCCAGGCGACGAAAAAAGAGGTCCGGACGTACAAGAGCCAAAATCAGACAAATAAAGAGGGAACAAGAGCCGAAAATGACGGCCTCAAGGCCGATCGGGTCTTGGACTGATAGAGGACGCGTTCACACGAAGACGGGCACAGAAAGGGGGAGGGGGGGGAGGAGAATCCGTGTCAGACATTGGTTTGGGGCCTTGACAAAGAGCCCACTCAGGCGAGCGAGGCAATTCGGGAGCGCGGAGGGGTCCGCTTGACGCACTAAGTCCAAGGACCAAAATAACTGACCCAGTGATCAGGGAAATGGTGATCTAGAAGGGAGGATACATCGAGAAAAGGAGGGAAGAGGGGGGGGGGGGAGCCGGGGTCGGGGTCAGCCCCCTGGCGAAGTATCAGGACAGGGCTCGCAAAGAGAAAGGACATATGGTCTGAGTCCACGTACGTAGATAGTGGCATACCTACGAACTGGGCCCATGGCGGCCGGCACCGGGATCGGCTACGTGCGCATGGGCGGAGCGGAAGGGAGGTTAGGATAACAGGATGGAATCGTGCTCAAGTGAAGGGGCAAAGGTCACTGGGCGGATGTGTGCGTGTGCAGGGGAGGGGGGGGGGGTAGCTGCCGAAAGTGAAGGGAGGGAATAGCCAGCGGGGAACGAACATCCTGGAAGTAGGGAAGATAGGAGGACAGATTCAAGTGAGGGACCTTCTCGGGCACCCAAATATGACGGTTCAGCTTGGTGGAATATTCGACACCAAACATAGCAGGATCGGTTACGACAATCGTCGAAGGTTGCTCGGGACCTCCGGCCGGGGGGTATTGTGGACCACCAGCCGGGGGATACTGCGGCCCGCCGGCCGGGGGATACTGCGGCCCGCCGGCCGGGGGGTATTGTGGGCCGCCGGCCGGGGGGTATTGTGGGCCGCCGGCCGGGGGATACTGGGACCCACCGGCCGGGGGATAGGGCAGTCCTCCGCTTGAGGAGCCCTGAGTCGACCCATAGCTGGGTAGGTTATGGCTGCCAGACGGGGCGGGAGGATAGCCCCCGAAGGTTGCAGGCGGATAGCCGGAGGTAGAGCTTGGAGGGGGGTAGTTGGGGTCATTTGTGGCAGAGGCAAGGCCGGCTTTATCGGCGCCGGGAGCCGTATTCGATCCCCCGGCCGAGCTGAAGGCAGGCGCCGGTACTGGCTGGTAGGCGGGCGGCGCCGCCGCCGTCGACAGCAATGACGAGGTGGATGAGGAGGACGACATGCCGGCCGGCTGATCATGAGCCGGTGGCAGCAGGGGGGCCGAATCTGAGCTGTCCATTGATGATGGCCTGTGAGGGCAAGGAGAGAGGAGGATACAGGTGTTCACCAAAGGGAGACAGGATGAGGAGAACGAGCATGGAATGGTGAGCCGAGAAATGGTGCTTCACCCCACAAAGCGGACCCTGGCAGGCATGGCGCTTATAAAGATGTTTGTTTTCTATTTTTTTTTATTTTTCCCATCACACGCCAACACCCACCTCGAGGCGGGCGGCATTCAGTGATTGTATAGATCCATCGCACCAGAAAGGCACCTGCATCCGGGTCTAACAGATAAGTCCGGCTCCCATGCGTCTGATAAAAATGAACACAGTAACACATACGCACAAGTCAAGAATAGACAAACATCTGGCTCACCGAGAGGGGCAGGTGGCGAGACTGAATAGGGCAAGCGACAGATGGTTCCCCCGGGCACCGTCCTTTGTGACCACGGGCGACCGCCTCATTTCGGGCAAGAAACACCTCCCTCGCTGAGGCGCAGATGGACGCCCGAGCGACCGGTCGCGGGGCTGCTGGGAAAAGGATCGCCATGGCCATTTATGCTGCTTTATCAGAAGGAGCGCTAATGGAGCCCTCTCCAGCCCTATCCCAACTTCACGTTGGCATCCCGGCCGGTGGCGTCCTGGTGTCTGCTTGTTGGGACTTGCCTCGAGCCGGTGGGCACCCTCCGCCACGAGGCCTGGGGGGCTGTCGGGCCTGAGAGGCCTCCACCTCGATCGACTTGGAGGAGGGAGGCTATCACCTGGCAGATATGTGGCTCGGGCTGGGGAGGCCATCCCACCCGTGGCGCAAGGCACCCAATATTGCCAGGATATCTCTCTCCCCCCCCCTTCAAGCGGCCTTCTCGCGTCAGCTCTCCTCTTCTTCTGGGACTCGAGAATGAGTCGCCATGGCCGGAATAAATGATCCAGGTCGGCACCTTGATCCTCATCTGGGATCCACACGCATGGCACATTCACCCACCCACACACAGAAAGGGAGCGAGGGAGAGAGAGAGAGAGAGAGAGAGATAATATTGTACACGCACAAACCCGAGGAACAAAAGTCAGACACACTGATAATCGCGAACACTCGATCATTCGGCCGTGCTTGAGGGCATGTTAGACGGCCCAATCTGAGGAAGCTTGTCGTGTCCCGGCTCCTGTCGTGCGCTTGCCCAACGGGCCTTCCCCTAAGATCCCGGCACGCGCCGAAAGACACTCGATTCATTAGCCATTGGGACTCTGGTCCTCTTGAGCTCTCGGCATGGCCCCCTTCCAATGCCCCGACCGTCCCTATTCACCCTTCGCTCCTGGTCTGATGACTATTTCTGCCAGGCGCCATGATCACCAGCTCCCTAGGGCCGGCTGTGCTAGGGGCTTTCTTTTTTCTCGCCAGCCCCCCCCCCCCCCCGGATATCTTCTCCTGTGTACCCTCTCGCTTTTGGGTAACGGTTGCTTGACCTCCAGTCGATCTGGCTTCGACAAAAAAGGTCCTTAGTCGCAAGAAGGGGCTTGAAGTGACGCTCTCTCGGCCAAACACCGGCACCCATGGCAACCGTGCGGCATGGATCCCTAGAAACCGCGTCCATAGTGCCACCCACGATCGTTGATACCCTCCATCCTCTGCCGAGAACAAAGTTCGGCGCTTTCTTCCCGACCCACATGCCTTCGCCTGTTGGTCTATTCACCGGCATACTGCCCCGACATCAATTGTCTGGTCGCGGTCGAAGGTCCTTGGGAGATTGTCGCCCATCTCACCCCTCTTAGGAGGGTGCTCATCCATATCAAGCGCCAGTATATCCACCATGAAAATGTGGCACCGAATGCCCTTCCAGAGCCAGGCAGTAGGAGTGCACGGGGGAGGAGGGGGGGGAGGAGGGCGTCAAACAGCGACTTGGCCACGGGCCAGTCCAATCGGCTGTACATTTACCATCCTACCAGGCCACAGCACTCTCCATCCACGAGGACCCCAAGATGTCAGCTTGATGACATCCTTTCGCTGGAATCGCCCTCGGTGAGCTCAAGAGAAAGGGACCCGTCGAGAGGAAGCCCCTCCCCGCCCGCAAGTCAGTCGGATCCAGGCGGTGTCCCGTTCGGCCCCGAAAGTAAGGGGCCTACCGGACACACCGACCTGGGCGCTCCTTCGCAAGGTCCCAAGCCTGGATTGTTGCTTCCCATCGTGACAATCGATTGGGTTGGAACATGTCCATGGGCCCGGTGCACTCAGCTTCAGCCCTACCCAATAAACATCATCTTGAGGAAGTGCACCGGACAGCCAGGCACCCTGTCAATCGAGTTCCATCAGCGGCAGAAGGGCAACATGAGAGGCAATCCAAACACGCAGGCCGTGGAACCGGGGTAAGACTCGAGCAAGTCGACATGGGATGGACTCAAGCAGCACCGATACTTTGCCCTCAGGGCGACAAGCGCACCGAAAGAGTTCGCTCCGATCCTCGGATCCCAGGGACTGACGTCCATGCCGGTGCCCTGCGGTCTGTCCACTCGTTGTGAATAGGGAGGACACATGCTTCGCTCCCCGCATGGAGATCCCATTTCGCCAGAGACCCACCCCCCTTTGGGTCATTTTGCCGGGTCAAGCTCATGCCCGAGGGGCCCCAGCCCCCCCCCCCCCCCC